GTCCCCACCCTCTCTGTGAAAACTTCCTTTTCTCGCTCCAGCGAGACCTGCACTTCCAGATTACCCGTTGGGCGCCAGTTGTTGAGTAATACTCCCTCCACGTTCGGGTGCCAGATGCTGAGTGATTCCTTCCACGACCCGCGTGGAGTAGGGTTCGGTATCTGAAAGAGGAGCCGCACAACAAATGAAAAAGACACAAGATAATTTTGCGATACCGGGGGACCAGGCGGGCAAGTCCGGAAAGACTTCCTCCTCTGGAAAGACTTCCTCCTCCCGCTTTGCTCAGGTCTCTCCAAGCTTTTATTCATCTGGAGTAGCCCTTAGGGTAAAGAGGTTTTAATGACACACATCCGCAAACAATCTTCAAGAATAGGCAGAATACCCGATTAACCTATCAACAGATCTCCAGGAGCATCCGATTAACAACAATCAACAAAGATCTAATTGAGTGAACTAAGGTGGAGATGCTTCAACCATCACCACTCAAACCTACTGGGTAGTTCACAGTTCTAACTTCCAAAAGATCACCAGCCTTCTCTGGGGGGTCTCCGTCCAAACCCAGCCAGCAAAGATAATGAATGGACTCCGGCACTGAGGCACTGGGCTTCAGCTGAGAGAAGCTTAAAGTGGGGATAACATGATCAGACACGTTGTTGAGAGAAATCACTCTTGCTACACTGGAAAATAGACTGGAGGAGACATGTCTAGAGGCAAGAGTGGCAGCCTGAACTAGGATGGTGGCAGTGGAAATTGAGACACTGATCCCATTGAAATAGAAGGGCGAGTTGATAGTACTGGCCAGCTGGTTGGAAATGTGAACAGGGAAGAACTGAGAATGATTCACATTTGTGTCTGACGTAGGGAGCGATAGAAAGAGCAGGTTCTAGGGGAGACAGCACTGATGTTTGTGTGGGTTCCTGTGTGTGTCCAGCACTCTGCTCTGTATGTATCGACTTAGCCCTTGGAGGAAGCCCAGGAGGTCAGTGCAGTAGTATCTCCATTTGACAGATAAGAACGGAGAGGTTGAGCAACTTGCCCACAGTTACCAGCTTGGAGGTGGCAGAACCGGGATTCAAATCCAAGCCACCTGACTCCCGAGGCACCATGCAGTACAGATGATAGGCCATTTCCACAGACCGTCTTACAATATTTAACAGAATTTAAAAAATGGAAATGATATTGGTGGCAACATGAGCATAATGAAGACACACAGACCTGGGTTGTGATCTCAGCGAATTCTTTTCAGTGAGCCTGGCATGTCACCTGGCTTTTCAGGAGCTTAGTTTCCACGTTAAATAAATTAGAGATAATATCTAACTCATAGGGTTGGTGAGTAATGCTATGTGGAAAGTGGAAGCGTCTCAGACAGTTCCTGGCGTGCAATAGCTACTCAGTGACTGCCTGCATCTGATAGCTGGGTTTCCCCAGGGTATTTCATTATAGATGAGCCTTGACTAAATGGTCATCACTACAGTATTTTTAAGGGGAAGGGGGAGGGTGGGTGGGGAAGGGATATGTATTTTGAAAAAGCTCCTCTGGATTTTTTTTTTTAAATCCCTGGTTATGAACTATTTGCTTAGAAATGTGATTTTGAAAAACCAAAGGCTTCTAACCCCTGACTATGAAAATCTTTTTTGAAGGTACGTGATTGAGGGAAAGTGAAATTTGATTGGTAGGGCATTTTAGGGACCCTTCTCTGTGCTAAATGCTGGGGTCTGACATGGACTTGCTACTGGACCACTCACTGCCTCTTCATGTCAAACTATATACTGTAGAGGGGCGCTGCTCCAAGTGCTGGCCACAGAATGTTTGTTACTGTCCTTAGTGAGTTAAGGAAGGAAATGAAGAAAGGTTTAGAAACTTGGAGAAGTAATTTGACAGCAGTGGATTTAATAATTAAAAGTAATATGCCTTTTAAAAATTCATTTTCCTAATACATTTTATTGCATTTCACAAGTGTCAGTCCATTGGATGGCTTAGAAATAATCATTTAAACACTGGTCCTGAGCACGGCTTTGAAGTGCTGAGAACTAGTCCCAGCTCCCAGGCCAGCTGGGCGGTTGGCAGAATGAATCATCAAGTGATGTCTGTTACACTGTTTTGACAAAATAACCCAGGCAATTGAGCAACCTTTGCTTTTGAAGAGTAATTACTTAGAAAAGTGGACAAATTCCTCAGTTGAGACTTTGCTCTTTGGAGCAAAATCACTTCTAAAGGGTTTCCTTCTGGAATTGCTCTTGTTTTTGGTGTGTGTGTGTGTTTTAAATATATTTTTGTTGATTTCAGAGAGGAAGAGAAAGAGAAACATCAATGATGAGAGAGAATAATTGATTGGCTGCCTCCTGTACCACCCCCCCACTGGGGATTGAACCCACAACCCAGGCATGTGCCCTTGACTGAAATCGAACCTGGGACCCTTCAATCACGCAGGCTGATGCTCTATCCACTGAGCCAAACCGGCTAGAGCAGGAATTGCTGTTTTAACCAGAAGCCAGTTGGTGTCAATATGAGAGGGAATCTTAGCCCGGGAGCATCAGTGATGCATTAGCATTATTCAGTGTGAAGATAGTATGGTGATAATTTATTCTGGACATCTGAGCAGCAATATTTGAATGGGAAACTGGTTGTACATCATTTGGAGTCATAATTTCAACTTGTCAAGTATAAATGTAGGGGAAATATAATAGCTCAAGAGGAAAGAACATTAGAAAGGCCCCAGTGAAATGTCTTTAAATGAACTTCAGTGCCCAACATCAAACGTTTTAATAGTCAACATAATCATAGTCTAGGGCAGCGGTTCTCAACCTGTGGGTCGCGACCCCTTTCACAGGGGTCGCCTAAATACATCCTGCATATCAGATATTTACATTATGGTTCATAACAGTAGCAAAATTACAGTTATGAAGTAGCAACAAAAATAATTTTATGGTTGGGGATCACCACAACATGAGGAACTGTATTAAAGGGTCACGGCATGAGGAAGGTTGAGAACCACTGGTCTAGAGTGAGGGGTTCTTGTGAGGCTGGGAGGTGTTGGGAGCAGATGTGTGAGGTGAAGCCCGAAGCAGTGTTTGACCCTTTGTTAGTGTTCTTTGTGTTGCACAGAAAAACATGAAGGGGCAGCCTCGATGCTCGTTTTTTAAAATTTTATGAAGCTTCTATAGCAGTTATATGCAAATGAAATCTTTGTAAAAATCGACCCCATCAGTTTTTTCATTTCTACGAACAAACAGTGGCAGTATATTGGCTTCCCCCATCTTTTTAATGTGAGTGTGTTATCAGTATAAGAAAAATAGATAAGAGTTATTTCTTATCTGCTTGCATGTTTGATAGGTTTTATTTTCTTTCCAAATCGTAGGTTCTATTTCTACATTAATTCCCAAGAAAGAAAAGTTAAGCTGGCAAATTCATAAGCCTGGAATTTCTTTGAATGCATTCCCTGGCTCTTTATTGCTCTTTCATTGTTAAAATTGAAAAGGGAGTGTGTTTGTTGGTATTTTCAGCTGCCCATGATATCATTCTAACAGCTATTTTCATTATTGAATATTGTCTTTCTGCCCTCTTCCACAGTCACACATTTTTTAAGCAAAGGAACTTTATTGCTTTTCCAAAGAGTCATACTAACTTATCAGCATTGAATTCAAGAGTGCTAATGAAAATGTTGCAAATTCAGTGTAAAATAAGTTATGGGGATAACTTATTTCAGGGATTTTCACATATCTTTGCTAACAAGTATGAACTCTTTTCTCATCATTTTCTGGATAAGATTTGTTTATAGTTTCCTCCAGCTTCCTGTTTTAAATGTTTTCAGGTACAGGCATTATTTCTTGGATCTGAATTTTTTGAGGTGCTGATGACATATTGGTATATCAGGAAGGGGAGAGGCTTTGTCACTGTTTTAAGCTAAAACAGATCAAGGGTTTTTCTCAGTATTGTTTCTCCTTTACATAACAGTATTTCCCCCTTTTATTCAAAAGTACTTTTGATGCTGATAGCTGCTATTTTGATTTGTATAAGTCAAAGTGGCCTTGATATTTTTGTGCTCTTTCATTTTTTTATTAAAAACCAGAAAATCACTTGTTTCTCAGGAGCCAAAGAGACAGCAGACTAAAAAAGAAATCCAGGGGCCAACAAGGATGCAGGCACTCAGCGAGTCCACGCAAGAGGCCCCCAGATAAGCCATGGCGCCCAGTCTCAGTAAGACAGTTACTGGCTTCAGAGGTTGGTCCATCCCTGTAGGATAGGACTGATGGACTTGACAGAATCTTACCAGTGTTACCTCCCAGTCTACTTAGTGCAGCCAGAACGATTTGGATTAAAATATCAGTTGTACTCAGAGATCAGATATGTTTCTAACTTTAATTTATTGGACACAAGCCCTTTTGTGTTTTCATGTCCACCCGTATAGGTGGACAGTTGGGTGGTGTTTTGGTTTGGTGTGTTTTGCCTATAAAAGCAAAGGTTTATTCCTTACTGATGCTCTCTGGTCTTCATGGATGAGCTCAGCTTCTATGCATCTTCACCAGGACCAGGCTGATGGAGCCGCTTCCTGAGGCAGTGCTGGCACGTGGCAGAGGGGAAGATAGGTAGGCAAGCACACTGGGCGTTCAAAAGTCATGCATCCCAGTTCCACGTGTCTTTGGCCAGAGCAAGCCCGGTCCCCAGATCTGTGTCCCAGTAGGGTGGAAATGTGTGGTCCACACAAAGGTCATCACAGGGAGGTGAAAACACTATATGAGTTATTATAAAGTGTCAACACAGCGAGAGATCAGATTTAACAGATAAAAAGCAAAATATGTGACTCAGTAATTGACGACCTATCATAGTATGAAGGTGGAAGAATTAAGAACTAATTCCCAGTACGTGGCCTGGGCATCCAAGTGGTGGTGATGCCAGCACTGGGAGGAACGGGGTTAGGGGAAGAGAACAGGTTCAGTGCTGGGCATTTTAAGTGTGAAGTGTCATCCAAGAAGAGGCACAGTTAGGTCTTACTGGTGTGTAGCTCAGGAGAGACACAATGGCTGGAGAGATGGCAAATTCATCTGCCTAGGAGGGTGTAGTTGACTGAACGAGAACACTGTAATAGGAGGGTATCTAGATGGGTGAGAGCTGAGGATAGGGCCCTGGGGTGGTGCTTTCTGGCCTTGTCATGTCCTGCATGCATGGACAGTGGCAGTATTTGTGCAACACATTGGAGTAAGTACATTTAGATAGCTCTGGTCTACAGCCAGCCCGCCCAGGGGCTTGGCCATTGCGAGGGCTGAGGCAGTCGGTGCTTCAGTACCCCTATGCCAGGGGTGAGGAATAGCCACCAAAGAAGGAAACAGGGAAGATCACTGTCAAGGAAACAAAGGGAGGAGAGAATTGTAAAAGGTAGGTGAGATCAGCAGCGGGAAATGCTGTGGAGAGGCTGTGCGGAATGAAGACTGCAAGGTGCCCTGTGGATCTGGCAGCTGGAGTTACTGATGAGCTCAGTAGAGGTGTTCACGTGGAGTGGTGGGGGCAAAGCCAGATGTCAGCGAAATGGGGAATAAAAATAGACCACAGATTCCAACAGCTTACGGTTTTGGCTGAAGGAGGACGAGAGACCTCGGTGATAGAGCTGATCATAATGTTGAGGGAGGATTGTGTTATGATAAACGCGATCTAAGAAAGACCAATGGAAAGAGCAAGGTTAAGAATAAAAGGGGTGAGGTCAGGTGATGTGTGAAATAACGTGAGGAGATGAGACCCAAATCCCAGCCTGGAGGGGGCATTCTTGCCCTGAATTGTAAGGGGGGGAGGGGTTTGATCGTAAGAGCAGCGGGTGTGGCGCACCAGGCGGGTGATGGTGACTCTGTTTCCCTTTGTAGGAAAGGTGTCATCCCTTGTTACCGTTTCCCTCCCTGGAAAAACTTTTGAACATTTTTGTCTGCTAGTGACAAAATCACTCAGCTTTTGTTTGTCTGAAAATGTCTTTATTTTGCTTTCTTTATGTATTTTTTGTTGACTGTAGAACTCTAGGTTGACAGGGTTTTTTTCCCCAGCACTTTTGAATCTGTGTTGTCGTCCTTTCAAGAATACCGAGTTTTCTTGTGGACCATTAATGTCCTTGTGGCTCATTGGATCCTTTGGGGGGGTTGTTTTAAGCTTTGTTAGGGTGGTCTAGGGTAGGTGTTACTCTGGTAATGCTTAGCCTTGTTCCTAGGTATGGCTTTGTGGGGGTCTCCACTGGTTGCCTTTTTAGGCCAGGGCTGGGAAGTTCCAGGCTCCAGGGAGGCTCTGGTGGTGGTTCAGCTTACAGCTGTCTGGCTGTGGCTTCTTCCCTGGCCTCGTGAGGGCCTGCCCCCTAGACCTGCACAGCTTGGTATTCAGCCAGAGATGAGGGACCTGCATGCAGACCTCTGGAGTTCTTTATCTGTATAGCTCCTGCCTCTGGGAAATCCTGCCCCACAAATCCAGCTGCTTCAACCTCCCCAGTCTCCCTCCTTGTTGCTGCAAGTCACCAGGATGTCTGTGCTCTCTGGCTCCTGCACCAGCGTCTCCTAGGTGCCTCCAGGTAGACAGCCAGGCCAGTGGAAGGCTCGTCTTCCTTGTTTCTCTGAGTACAGGAATCACAGCCCAGTGCCTGTCGTCCCATCTCCAAAACAACAGTTTCATATATTTTGTCTAGTTTTTTGTTTTTTAAGCTGAGAGAGATGGTTTAGTACCAATTACTCCAGTAGGACAGGAACGAAGATCTGTTTCTAGATGTAGAAATATGATGTTTTTTGAAATCTCGACTCTGTTTCCTGTTTGGTGAAACTACAGCAATAAGCAGCTGTTGGTTAGGCTACCTTTTGGTAGACTTGTAGGCCAGGATTGCGACACTGGTGTTCCACGGAAATCCTCATACGTGTCAACTTGTGTTACAACCAATCACTTAGGACTCCTGCTAAAAATGAGATTCCTGGGCCCTACCCTCGCTCTGCCAAATGAAAATCCGTACAATTTCTGTGTGTTTCAATCAGTCTAAACAGGCTGTGTTCACCAAAGTTGGAGAAGCATTGTTACATATACGCCATCTTGTAAAGCAGCAAGTTAAAGCTGCCTAAAGATGTTAATTAGCTGTAAATCCACCAGCGCCACATGTTTGCAAGGATGTGAAATGAGAACTTGTCAGTCACTGCAAATAAGAGTGTCAGTTGGTCGAACACCTTGGAAATCCAGTCAAGTCAGAGCTGCATTTCCCCATCCAATCCAGCAATTGTACCTCCAGCAGTGGGTGTGAGGAGACTCCTGGATGCCACAGAGCATGTTGCAAATGGCATGTTGGCAATAGCTTGGATGGCCAACCAAAGGAGCCTGGATATGTAATCGTAATAGATGCACCACTTGAATGATTTGGATATGTAGTGTACAGCATGTGTAGCATACTGTAGTAATTGAATACTCTTCAGTGAAAAATGGAAGAATTAGAGCTGTGTGTCAGTCCATATGGGTGAGTTACAGAAACATGTTTAGCCCAGAAAGCAGGTAGCAGAAGACACTATCTTGCCATTTTCATGTAAAGTTTTAAAAACTTACAAAAGAAAACAGGAAGAAATTCGTAGGAAGGGTCGGCAGTGACTGGGGGAGAAGTAGGGAGGAGGCGACCAGGAGGGGCACACGTGGGACTCTAGCCACATTCCTAAAGCACCCTGAGCAGTTGGTACACGGGTGTTTGTAATGATATACCTTGCACATTTCTGCGGGTCCCAAATAGTTCATGTGCATTTTCTTAGAGAACAGACAGGCAACTTGGGTAACTTGTTTTAATCACCCTTTTGCTAATAAAGTTTGTCATTAAAACATAAGTATTTTTCTCTTTCGCCTTTGTTTTAAAATGTTTTCCCCTTTTATTCTCTGGAGAAGTTGAGGATATCCGTGGTCATATCACTTCTCTGTTTCTTTCATTTTAAGTCGTCATTTTAACTCCATACGTGTGGTGTGATCTGAACTCCTGTTAACTCGTCTGCTCGTGTGTCTGAGAATCTCGTGCTTTCTCCTCCCACAGGTATTCACGACGCTGTCGGTGACCAAGCGCTCCGGGGGGAGCATCCTGCAGGCTGGCTGCTGAGGTTAAGCCCCAGTGTGGATGCTGCCGCCAAGACTCCAACCCACTGAGGTGTTTCCTTGCCCAAGTCCAAGGGGAAGTTTTCAGGAAGCTTCTTTGGCTTCGACACCTATGTGTCCTGGGCCTGTATCACCCGAGGCACCCTTGGATCTTATGGGTAGGAGGTGGTGAGTGGAAGGCGGGCAGCATCACACTGGGGTCACCATGACGGACTCGAAACTGACCTTCGGCAGTGCATCGTAGGGTGCGTCCATGAAGTCACTGGCCTGAAGCCCCCGCGGTGGGCCGTGATGGAATTACTGGCGAAGCAGTTTTCGCAAGACTCTTTCTGTGGGTTTCTTATCCCCTTTGCCAAGCTTCTGTTGTTGATTACTGTTTTCTATTTTCTCCAAGGTGTTAATGATACTAGAGATGAAAAAAAATGTTAGCACTCGATTTTTGTCCAAAGCAAGTCTTGGCTCGCGTATGCTCATGGCTGCCTTGTTGCTGGGAGGCATGGTTTGGCTCACTTGGAGGCTGATAGGCTCGTCCCATGATCCAGTACTGCCCTGAGATTCAAATGTTCTGTTCTACTCGACTGACCCATTCAGTGTCTCCCCTAACAGGTTACATGTTCAAGCAAGTAAATGTGTGGTGGACTCTGGCCAAATCTGCCCCCTGTGTTCCATCACTAGTTACTGTTTTTCGTTCTACTTAGGAGAGGAAATGGCTACTTAGCCAGCCCAGCTGGGCGATATTCCACTGCACGGACCTGACTGGTCCAGTACGATCGCTGTCATTATTCATCATGGAGGCAGATGTGCTCCTTAAATGGGGAAAAACAATACATGTCTTTATTGAGTGTGTTGCATGCTGGTCTAAGTGAGCTGAAATGCTTAATACTTGTTTAAAACATTTTTTTTTTCAGGGGGGTAGCTTTAGCTTTAAGCTAAAAGCACAAAATGTCATGGCTTTATTTTTCATGTATTTTACGTATCTGTCCCTTGCTAAGAACTACATTTATAGGAAAATGGGTCTTTCCACACTACCATTTAACTCTTTTGTTGTACTTTTTTAAGGAAGCTCATCATATATCATAAGTTATTATTTTTGAACACAGGTGGATGTGAAGGATTTTTGTTTAAAAACCAAATGGTTTTGATACTTCTGTTGAGTGTATGACTGTACCTGGTGGGGTTTTAGCGGAAGTGTCTGTGCTTCATTAACATTCCAACTTGTGTTACCAAGAGGCGGTATCCACGGTTACAGACTCCTGTGTGAATGTGCTGACTGAGGATCATACTCAGGCATCTTCTCACTATGTAAGTTGGGTTTAAATGTGTGCTGTGGCCATCAGGCCTCCCACCAGCAGTCCTGTGGCTCCTGTTTCACTCCCTCCCCTCTGCTGGTATCTGTCAGCTACAACACCGAGTAGTTGATTCCAAGTACATTTCTCGTCACCTCAGGGAACCCCTGCGTGTGCCTGGCATTCCATCACAGAGCATAACCCTCCACAGGGCCCTGCCTCGTGCCCTCATCCCACCTGGTTATGATGAAAATGAGAAAAGGAAAAACAGAAAGGGAAATTGAGGCAGTTGACATCTAATTTTATTTATTTTTTAATATGTTTTGTCTCCAAGTCTGCCAGTCTCTGAAATTTGAACACGAGGCAGTGAGAGAGGATTGTGCTGAATCATGTGGTTCTCCCTGCTCAGTGGAATGGAAGGTTCTGCCCCCACAAGAAGGATTGTACTTTATGGACTTGTCTTGTTTAGATTCTGTACTTGCCCATTGTATTAAAACATATTAAGTTCTATGTATTTTTGTTAAAATTCTTCTGGAAAAAAAAAAACACATACAAAAAACAAAAAATCTAAACACCAATGTGAACCATTAAAAGGTATTGATAACCCACCCTGTGTGCCTTCTTACTGAATGGTGGTCTTGGGGTTCTTTGCATGAGCCTTCTTATCGGCGATCGCGCGGACCAGCTGCTGAGGAAGCGGCGGTGATGGGCTCTCAGGACTGGGCGGTATGCTGACATTTACATTTTATAGCGTCGGCTTTTCACATTCCAGTTTTTAGCTTGTCCTGATTTCACCTGTCAGTCTTGGCCTTCAGGGTGACGAAACCACCCCAACCTACTCCAAGTCACTCTGGGTCCCGGGACTTGGTACGTCCATGGCTGTCTCTCTCTGTTACTGAGTGAAGAGACGAGAGGAAAGTATGGAATGCTTACATCCAAGGCACGGTGGACACAAAGTGAATAAACACTGGTTAATTTATCTGTCAGCTTGATTGGAACATGGGGTGCTCAGCTATTTGGCTAAACCTCATTTCTGGTTTGTCTGGGAGGGTCAGGTTTTCCTGAATGAAGTGAGCACTCCAACCCGTGGACTGAGCAGTTTGCCCTCCCTGGTGTGGGTCGCATCATCTGTCCACTGAGGCTCCGGCCAGAGGAAGAAGAAATTCAGCTCTTCCTACCCGATTGCTTGAGCTGGGACATCCACCTTCTGCCCTCTGGACTCCGTGCTCTCAGACCACTGGACTCAGACTGCACTACCCACTGGCTTTCCCACCGGCTTCCTGCGTCTCCAGCTTGCAGACGGCGGCAGGTCATGGGACTTCTCAGCCTTCACAATTGCATGAGCCAATTCTTTATAGTAAATCTTTTCTGTATGTGTGTATGTATATATACATATGATTAAAACAGACAGACCTTACCCTGAAGCTGTGCACGGTGTGGAGGGCAATTGAGGTCAGCAGTGAACAAAACAAGAATCCTTGTCCTCAAGGTATTTACATTACAGTTGAGGGAAATGTGCCAAATAACAAAGGTAGACACGGAACAGATGAAGGACCTACATGTATATGGTGCAGCCATAAAGTCTTTATGGTAAAGGTAGAAAAATATCTCTGTGACTTAAAGGTGGAGAAAGACTTCTTAAGCCACGGCCTAAAAGCATGAACCATAAAGCAAAGACATCGCGTGGGCCAACTGCATCACAAGTTCTGACCCCAAAGACCACCAGGAAAGAGTTAATAGGATTAACAAGAAAATCAGGAGAAGCTAATTTCAGTGTCTAAAACTGACGAGGGACTTAGACCCAGGGGACAACAAGGAATTCTGTCCAATCAACAAGAAGACAGGAGCCTCAAAAGAACATGGGCAAAAGACATTGAATCGGTTATTCCTGGAAGAGGAAACCCCATAATCTAACGAGAGGTATACACAAGCTTCTGGCTAATTAAGAGGTGAATAGGATAATGAGGGCACGTTATACTCACCAGATCTGCAGACATCAGGAAGCTGGTTAATGCGTAATGAGGGGACCTGGGGCTCTGCTGACGGGAGGATAGACGGCTTGTTGCTCCGTGTGGAGACAGATCAGGCACCTCAGACCCCAGAACCCAGCAGTCCTGCTCCTGATATCAGCCCCGGAGAAATTCTCACACATGTCCCTCCAGGAAAGTGCTTAAAGATGTCCGTTTAGCATCTTTTTGGAAGTTGGACCCAATCCTGCTGTCTCTCCCTGCAGGGTGGACGAGCAGGCCAGGGTGGATGCAGGACACAGTAGCATTCTGGGAGGTACCATGACATGGATTGATGTGAATGAAGAAAACCAAGGAAGAGAATGAGCCCTACAACTACTGTTGTGTATTAAAGTGACACACCTCTTACAAGAACCTCTATAAGCAGCACCCAGCCAGCACAGCAGAGCGGCCGACTGTGGAGGGCAGAGGAGGAAGCAAGTGGAAATAAAAGGAAGTTAAAGAAAAAGAGGGCACCACCCTAATGCCAGCTGTCCTGCAGCCCAGGTGGCGAGCAAGGACTCTCCAAGCCTCGCTTTTCTTCCCCCAAAAGTGGGGATAATAATGGTGCTCACCTCCAGAGTTGCTGGGAGGACCACATTAGCTAATACATACGTAAAAGTACTCAGAATAGTGGCTGACACCAAGCGGGTGCTGGGTGAGTGGGCGCTACTATTCGTAGCAGCAGGAGGAGGAGCTCAAATCTCGGTATAGGAGGTCCAAAGAAGTAAAGGTGCAGTGCTGGGCCCTAGCTGGTTTGGCTCAGTGGATAGAGCATCAGCTGTGGACTGAAGAGTCCCGAGTTCCATTGCGGCTGGGCACATGTCTGGGTTGCCTGCTTGATCCCCGGGGGGAGGGGGGGAGTGCAGGAGGCAGCCAATCAATGTGTCTATCTAGGGAGGTGGAGAAGCCCTTAGGGGTGATTAGGGCTGGCAACTGCAGCTCACACCTGCTGACAGCACTGAGCAATTGGTCCCGAGTTCCATTGCGGCTGGGCACATGTCTGGGTTGCCTGCTTGATCCCCGGGGGGAGGGGGGGAGTGCAGGAGGCAGCCAATCAATGTGTCTATCTGCCTCCCTCCCTCCCTTCCACTCTCTCTGAAAACAATGGAAGAATATCCTCTGGTGAGGATTTAAAAACAAAACAAATTAAGGGGCAGCTTTGGGATTCAAGCCCAGGACGGTGACCTGCCTCTTTAGACTTCAGCCAGGCCCCCTCCTGTCCAGGCAGCAGCCAGGGAATCTATTTGGGAACAACCAAGTGACTCTGAGCCCCTCGGACTTGGAGTGTGACTCAGAGCCCCATTTGATGCTCAAGGAAGTGAGGGTGACCTTAGGGAGAGCGCTGGGCCAGCAGGGGCGACCCAGAAGCACAGGCTTGTCTCCAGCAGGGGACAAGCACAGAGCCAGCGTGGGAAGCACACCGCGCTCTGCCCCCATCGCCCACCTGGAACCCACGTAGGTCTCCCCTAAGAGAGTAATTACAAAATTAAAAATGGCCCCGCAAAGTATCTTTCCATTTGGGAACCCTAGAAGGCGAGACTGATGGGTGTTACCGGGGCTGACGCCTTCCTCCCTGCACCCCCAGCCCTAGTGTGGAAACAGCCCTGAGGATTTTGTGGAATGAGTTCCCATCCTGGAGGTGGGTGGTGACTGGTCCATCGCAGGCACCTCCCTTCCCTGACTTCCTTCCTACTGTAGTAAATTTGATCCCGGTAGTTGGTGAAATGAATTTCTCATGGTGAAGTGAGGAGCTGGGAAATGATTAGGAATGCAATTGCCTTGCCTCCTGTGTGGCTCACACAGCTTGAAGAGTGCTTTGTTATAAATGTATTTTTATGATTCTGGTGGCATTCTGCCGGGGTCCACGTCCAGGACCATTCAACAAAGGAAGGGAAGAACATCAGTAGCTGATCAGGGCTGGACTCATCCCTGGGCGGGGGTGGGGGTGGGGGGTTAGGTAGCTCTGAGAGACTGGGGTGGGGGCTCTGGCCGCCACAGGCACAATTTTTAAAGCTTGTGGCCAGCATCATAAATCCTGCTCTCTCCCGAGCTTCTGAAGTAAGGCTGCTCCGATAAAAGCGCCCACTCTGCCGCACGCCATCCAGGGCTCTCTCACGCAGGACCTCACTCGGCTCCCAAGTGGGCCAGAAAGCAGGGCATGTTGCCCCATTTCCCAGAAAAACCTTGGGGTGGTGGCTCAGGCACAATGTGGACAATCTGGTTTCTTCAGCAAATAAGTCAAGGACGAGCAACGAGGTGGAAGGAGCCAGGGCCCCCACGTGACCGGCCCCGAGCACCTGCCCACCTCCATCTGCTGGGTGAGAGAGAAAGACCCGTGTGTCTTATTGGCCCCCTCTTGGAAGGTACTGCACTTTGGGGGCTCTGATATAGCAGCTTTACCAAATATAGCAGCATTACAACAAATACAGCAATTGGAGGAAATTTTTTTCAGAAAATAATGATATGAGAAAAAGCTTATAGTTTCTATTTCAATGAAAGGAAATCAGTATATAGACACGAGATTTTTAGGGCAGTAAAACTATCCTATATGATACTACAGTGTTGGTTATGTGACACTATACATTTGTCCAAGGGTAATCCCCATTGTAAACTCTGGACTTAGGGTGACAAGGATGTGTCAGTGTAGGTTCATGGATTTCACAAATGTGCCGTTCTGGTGGGGGATGTTGCTAATAGGGGAGTGTGTGTGTGTGTGTATAGGGTCAGGAATTAGAGGAAAGCTCTGTACCTTCTGATTAACTTTGAATCTGAAATTGCCCTTAAAACAATAGCCTATTTAAAAAAAACACCCAGTTTTATAGACGTGCACCAAATATGGAAGACCCAGATGGTGTGGCCTCCCTCCGTCTTCTCACGGCTAGTGGAGAGGCCCACGCTTATTTGACAGAGCACCTGGGGCTTGGACTGTTTTGTGGATAACTCTATGTAAGATGCCCAGGTAGGTTCCCCGAGGTTCGCCTGGGGCTGATGGTCTGAGGATCCCTCCAACCAATGAATGAGCAAGAATCTCGTCACAGGACAACCCAGCCTGTTGCTATGGAAGTGACGACCATGTGTCTCACAGAGTGGCTGGGACAAGTGCAGGCAGTTCCCAGCATGTTTTCCTTTTATCCTTTGGACACTGATCTTAGAATTGCTTCTTGCGATGGTAGACTTGTCCCACCTCTTTTGGATTCAACACAGCTACTAAAACTATCAGAATTATACAGCTGTGAGTTAGAAGGGCCGATTTTGAGTCTGCGTATGTTTCAGAAATCTGAATTTAGTTTTAGATAATGGCAGTATGTGACTCATTAGATTCATGAGGTGTTGTATCTGAGGAGAATGAGGGCATTAATTGCATTTATAATGAAATTCATTAGTGCATAAATAAGAGGCATGAATATTTTATTCATGACTATTAAGCGCTGGTAGACTAGGCTAGCGCTTTGTTGGGTCTGAGTTTGGAGTCATTGCTCCGTTTCTGTAGCTTCTCTGCTCCTTCCCTCAGGCAGAAACACAGGCACATGTGTACACATCTGTGCCCAGACCCCTCGCGCAGCAGAACGAGAACAGTGTTCAGGTGACATGTTCTTTCT